GTTCCCTCTGCAGCCCCACTGCAGCTCAGACTGGCGGTGCCAGTCCATGGCTGGCTGTAGGTGCAGCTGTAGGACTGGAAATTAGCCTTTCTTTGGCTTTAGGTCAGTGTGCCTCCATTCTTCTCCACAGTCACTCAGACTGGATATTAGGGGAAATTTCTTCACAGTGAGGGTGCTGAGGCACTGGCACAGCTGTCCAGGGCACTGGTGAAGTCACCATCCCTGGAAGTGTTAAAAAACCATGTTGATGTGGCGCCTGAGGATGTGGGTTAGTGGTAGACCTGGCAGTGCTGGGTTAAGAGTTCCACTTGGTGATCCCAGAGGGCTTTTCTGATTTTACTGACTCCCTGATTCTGTGACTATCCTCCCAGACACCAAGCTGCCATAAACTGACTCTCTTTTCCAGTAAGGCACTGTGGGTGCCACACACCGGCCCTGCTCCTCAAGCCTTCCCTGGCTGAGGCAGGGTCTCACTTTAGCCATGATTCTGTACAGATGTGTCCAGCTGTTGAGCCACCATGTCCTGCACATCCCTCATGGGCTCACCCTGGGATGCAGGGCTCTGCACAAGTCTCTCCCATAGCAAGGGAACCTGTTTCCCCTGCAGATCACAGAGCTGCTGGCAGAGCAGCTGCCAGGCTGGGGAAGGCCCTGTGCATTCTTGCACCTTCTTCTCCCTCTGCTGGAGAAGATCTGAGAGCTTTGCAGGTGGGGATGACTCAAACTGCTGACCTTGCATGCTGTGACATCTGATGTCCCTTTGTGCCCTCATTCTTCCCTGAAGCTGTTGATTTTAACATTTGCTGGTTTTAACACTCCAATTATGTGATGCTCCCAGTCAGATTTCAGGAGCACAGCTAGGTCAGATCCTTGTCCATATGTGAGCAGAGTGTGTTATCAGGCTCCCTGGCATTGCTGGGAGGGCACTTAGAGAATTTTTTCTCTCCAAGTCCCTTGACTTGACCAGTTTTATTCTCCACATCATGATGTCACTCAGGTGAAGGCTCCCAGTACCTCCTGCATGTTCTTCTCCCTCACTTCAGCTCCTGTTGGTCTGTCCCACACCCCTCTGCCCTCCAAGGAAAGTCTTCCACCACAGGAAGCCTCTCCTGGGTCCCTGCAATCCCGGCCAGCTCTGCCCCAGCACAGCCTCAGGTGTGCCCTGCCCTCTCCTGGCAGCTCCTGTGCAGGGTGTGGCACCAGTGCAGGATCCCTCCTCACAATTCCAGGCTGTTCAGCCTTACAGACACCCCCTGATGAGCCCTGAGGAGGGGACATGCCACCCCACTGGGGTCCCTCTGCAGGAGCATGTGTCTTCCCTGCTGGGGACACAGGTCTCTCACTGCCTGGAGGGAGAGGCTCAGCTCTGCTCCTTCCAGCTCCTTCCCCCATTCCTACACCGGGAATCTCAGGGCTGTTTGCTGCTGTTCCCATGCCAAGAACAGATAACCCCCCACCCACAGTGCCCTCCCCTTCTCTCCAGGGCTGCTGGCCTGGCCAGGCTCCATCTCACAGAATCCTCAAGCTTGGAAGAGACCTTCAAGATCACCAAGTCCAGCCATCAACCTAGTCCCACCATAGCCACCCCTAAACCACATCCCTGTGTGCCACATCCAGGTGGCTCTTGAACACTTCCACACCACCTCCCTGGGCAGCTCATTCCTGTGCCTGACCACTCTTTCAGTGAAATTGTTTTGTCCAGTATCTAATCTGAACCAGCTGAGTAGGGCAGAGGTTATATTAGGAAATACCTCCAAGGTCTAGCAGGTCCCCCTGTGTATAAAGGAGTGCTACTGTCAGGTCCCCACTCTGTCCCCAAGGTTCCTCTCAGTTGACAGTGCTGTGGGGTTTGACCTCTGGGAGTCATCAGGGTGATCTTTTGCCTCAGCTTCTTGATGACTTCAGCTTCCATCTTCAGCAGGACCAGTGCGTGTTGTCCCTGTGTTCAGGACACCCTCCTGTGGGGAGAGCAGGGACAGGAGCAGCCCATTCCCTGTGCTGTGACCTCCTTTCCCTTTGCCCTGCCCCAACAGGACCCTGCTGACGAGGACCTGCGTGGGAGCCTCCTGGGCTTGGGGAGGGGAGCACTTTCCTCACAGCTCAGCAGGACTTCCCACCCTTCCCACCTTTGCTCAATTGTTCCCTCTGGTGTTTTCACACACATATTTTTCCTTCTGTGCCTCCTCAGAAGGATCTTAATGCTGTCTACAAATCTCCTTCCTTCAGCTCAGCCATAGCTCACTTGTGCTCTCCCCTCTCTCCAAGCAGCTCCTTGTCCTTCCCTGGAGGTGCTGCTCCCAGCTCAGCCCCCAAACATCCTCCAGGGTGATTCTTTCTGGGACGCCCAAAGGAGCTCAATGCATTTGTTTTACACAGAGAAATGGTGCAGAGATTTCAAGAGCACACATATATTTCTTTTCTCTAGTTCTCTTGCTGGATTTGCACAAAATGGTGTTATGGCCTGTTTCAGAAGGGTTGGCAGTGTCTGTACCTGATCTTACAGTCTGTAAATCAAAGTGTTCAGTCTCGGGACGAGAGCAGGAGGGGACAATAGCAGGAGGGGTGACAGCAGGAGGGGTGACAGCAGGAGGAAGGGGCCCTTGTTCAGCAGCCCTTGCCAACACTGGGCACTGCCTCTGGGGCTGTGTTCTGCTCCTCGCCCTTTCCCCTCTGTCCCTGTGCCAGGCCTGCTCATCCCCCATCCCTGCAGCATCCCTGCTGTGCTCGTGGGGTCCCACAGGGACCCTCAGCCTTTCCACAGAGCTCTGGGTCAGCACTGGGCTGGCTGCCAGCTCACTGGGCTTGCTCCCTGCAATGAGCAAGCACTGTGCCTCCTCTCAGGTTTACCAAAAGCAACCATGGGTGGTCTCCTGATGCTTGTCCAAACCTGGAGGAGAAGCAGGAAGGAGCAGGAGGTGACAGCCCAGCCTGGGAGGGACCTCTGTTCTCACACAGACCATCCCAAGATGCTGCTGTTTGAGCCTGTAACATTCCACAGGATTTTCCCTAGAATTAGATCCCAGCACCACCTGCACCTTCCCAGCTCTGCTGGCCTTGCTCTGCTCTGGCTGTGACCACACTCGTGTGGCCCTGGAGTGGCAGAAGGGGAAGGACCACCCTGCCCTCATCTGCCCACTGGGCTGAAACGTCATCACCTTCCTCAGGAGGCCCCAGCAGATATTGATGCCTCATACCAGGAGCACCAGATCTGACCCCTCAAGGCCTTCTCCAGCCACACAGAGCCACCCAGGCTGCAGCAGGGCAGGCCATGGCCTCCTACCTTAGACCAAGAGGACAATAATCACCAGCTGATTCTCCAGTGAGGCTTGGTTGTAGATCATCTGACTCCCCGTTCACCAAAATTGTCTTGAAGGGGCATCAGTTCATAGCAAGACACCCCTGAGCAGAGAAGCGTCCTGGATGGACCCTTGACTGCTCCCTCTGGCACGCTGTGCCCTCATTGCCTGGAAAATCAGGGCCCCAGCTTGGCCCCTGCTCCTCCACCCTTCCACTGGTCTGCAGTGCCCTTCCCTGAGCTTACAGCCCTTCTCCTGTCTTTCCATGCCTCAGCTTCCATCACACCCCAGCCATGAGCACGTTGCTCCTGAGAATGGCAGGGAGAGGGGGACAGTGGAGGCAGGAGGAAAGGGACAATGGAGGTGTTTGGATGGTTGGCAGCATCAGGTGGTTGGGCTGGTGACACAACTGTTCATTTGCATTTCTTTGGGCGTTGATGCTGATATTAATTAAAAGCAATTATGGTGCCATTTTCTCTGTGCAAGAACAGCATGCAAAGGGAAAAACAGTGTTCCACACCAAAATGCTTCTTCCTCCAGAGCTTCAGTGACCTTGTTCAGTAGGAGGAACCTGCTGGGTGAAGGGAGGCCTGGCACCCAGGCCCTGCTTCTCCCATCTGTTGGATGTGCCAGAGGGTGCCAGGACTGGCCTTTCCTGGGGGCCTGAGGCACCCTGAGAGTGCTGGTGACACGCACACCCCTGACAGGCACTGCCAGCTCTGGACAGGCACTTGCATCCCACCAGCCACCGCTGCTGCTACAGGCTGCTGGGTGCTTGTGGTGGTGCCTGTGCAGCCAGGAGGGTGCTGGAGGCATTCCCAGAAGGTGCTGGTGGCTTCCATGGTGGCCATCAGTGGCTTCAGTGGTGCTGCCTTCCATCCCAGCACGGGTGGCATTAGAGCAGGGCACTGTCACACACTGGGGGCAGCACTGGCCATGGATCCTGGCTGTGCTGGTGGCTCTGCTGTCTGGATCCTGGGCTCAAACCCAACACAGCTCCCAGTGCTGAAATTCCCTTCCCCATGGAGAGCTGTGAGAGGGCTGGGCAGTACCAGTGCAGTGCCAGTGCAGTGCCAGTGTACAGCCAGTGCAGTACCAGTGCACTGCCAGTGCAGTGCAGTCCATGGCACCTGCTCTGCCACAGCTCATCCTGGCACAGCCAGGTCACGGTGCAGTGACTGCCACTGCAGGGGCACCTCTGAGCCCAGGAGTGTCTGGCTTTGGGGTGGGGAGGTGTCCCTGAGGCTGCAGCAGAGGCCTCCTGGGCTGAGTGAAGCCACGTGTGCTTCACCTCTGTCTCAGGCTCGGGCTCTGCCCAGCAGCAGCCAGAAACCCCAGAGAGAGAGGGGTGTTTGGTGTAGGAGACCCACAAAGGGGCACTGCCCAGCCCTGAGCCCCCAGCAAGGAGCATTTTGGATGTTCTCCTCCCACCTGGCTGATCTCCAGCTCATCCTCTCAGTCCATGTGACACCCAAGTGGCTAAGGGCCCCACTCCCACACCTTTCCCTGTCCTGTGGGCGCTGCTTCTGCCTCACTCTCTGCCTTTGCTGGACACAGCCTGGGTGTCAGGCAGAGCAGTCAAGTGTTTGCAGCATTGGGTTGTGACCTGGGATGTTTGTCAGGAAGACAAACTCTGATCTCAGGAATCGCAGCTGTCTCTCTGATCCCTGTGAGGACACGTCCCCTTTGCTCTCTGCCCTGCAGGTCTTCATGAGGGACAGCCCTGGAGCCCGGAGGGACACACGGTGCTCAGGATGCTGAGTCTGGCCTAGTGCCCGAGCCCAGCAAGCTGAGAGGTACGGGACAGCCCTGGGGTGGCTTTGGGGACAGCCCTGGGGTGGCTCTGGGGACAGCCCTGGGGTGGCTTTGGGGATGGCCCCAGGGTGGCTCTGGGGATGGCCCCGGGGTGGCTTTGGGGACAGCCCTGGGGTGGCTTTGGGGATGGCCCCAGGGTGGCTTTGGGGATGGCCCTGAGGTGGCTTTGGGGACAGCCCTGAGGTGGCTTTGGGGACAGCCCCGGGGTGGCTCTGGGGATGGCCCCGGGGTGGCTTTGGGGATGGCCCTGGGGTGGCTTTGGGAGTCCCGAGGGGGCCAGGGGGCACAGCCCCGGCTCTGTGCTGGTGGCCAAGGGGCAGTGGAGCTCCTGCAGGAGCACACTGGGGAAGGGAAGCTGGGAGGGTGATTCAATGACAGCCCTCCCTCCATCTCCTGGCGAATCCACAACACTCCCCTCGCAAAATAAAGTTATGAAATCTCCTGCCCATTGCTATAGTAACGCCACGCCTCCACCTGACCCACTTTGAGACAAAGGAAGAGTTCCCAAGCTCTGAGCATGCGGAGCCGGCACGGGCCCAGCCCAGGCTCCGAAGGGATGGCACAGGGAGCAGCTGACTGTTCCCACCTGCTCCTCTTTGCCCCGGGACCCTCAGGCCACAGGAGCTGCTTTGTGTGAGGCATTGATCAAACTGAGTGCCAAGAGCATCTCCACCTGCATCCTGAATGCAGGCAGGGCCCTGCCTGGCTTCATGTGGACATTTGGGCAACGGGAACATCTTCCCTGGAGCACAGTAAGGTCCTTGCTGAGCTGGTGGTGGAGCAGTGACAGCCACGGCTATTCAGAGCATCCTGTAACTACTCTGCCACAAACATTAAGGGCAAAGAGACAGAGAATCATGGAATGAGCTGAGATGGAAAGAACCCACAAGGATCACCACTCCACCCCTGCCCCTGCACAGGCACCCCAACAGTCCCAGCCTGTGCCTGGCAGCGCTGTCCCAACGCTCCTGGAGCTCTGGCAGCCCCGGGGCTGTGCTCATTCCCAGGGGAGCCTGGGCAGTGCCAGCACCCTCTGGATGAGGAACCTTCCCTGATCTCCAGCCTGAGCCTGCCTTGGCCCAGCTCCAGCCATTCCCTGTGCTGTCACTGGCCACACAGAGCAGAGCTCAACACTTTCCCCCAGTCAGACTCCAGTGAAGTTTGACCTCAGTCTCCTCCTCTCCAGGCTGAAGTTCCTCCTCCTCAGCGTGGTCTTTGTGCCCTGGGAGGGACACCAGGGCCATGCCCAGGGGCTGCTGTGGGCTCTGGCAGCACAGTGAGGCAGGAGGACTCAGCTGGGGCAGGGTGGTAACACAGGGGGCCAAGCAGAGTCTCTGCCATGTCTGGGTCCCGAATTCTCAGTGCAAGGGTGGACACCTCCATCCCTGGGAGCCAGGACAGAGGCAGCCCAAGGGCAGCCATGTCCAGGGCTTTGCATCCCATGCTCGCTCCATAGGGGCTGTGCAGACACTCCCTCACCCCCTCCAGGCCCCTTGAACACCACTGGCCAGAACAGGTCAGCTTTGGGCCAGAATGTTCTCATTAGCTGCTCCTCCAGCCAAGCTGGAACATGCCCCATGTGGTCACCAGCTGTGCCCCAAGTGCTCGGCAAGGCAGCAGAGGCTGCAGATTGGTTTCAAAGACAACAATCCAGCTCCTTGCCCTGGTCCTTCCACTCCTGCCACCTCATCAGCTGTCCTGCTCCCTTCCTGAAAATTCCCTTTCTTATCTGTCTCATTTGTCTCATTTGACCTACTTAATGCTTTGCATTTCCTGATTGAGAGCAAATCCCATCTCATGAAGAACTTTGAGAAACTTCTATTTAGGGATAGACAAATAGGTTGCAGAATTTCTGGGGTTTTGCTCCCTGGAGAGTTGATTATATTACCAGTGACATCTGGATGGAAATAAGTTCTCTGTCTCTCTCAGGAGTTCATCTACTCCTCCAGCTTAGACAACACCTGAAGTACAAAAATCTTTGTCATATCACAACCTTTGACTTTCACAGCATTTGGTTTTGCTCAAACAAAACAAAACAAAACAAAAAACAAACAAACAAAAAGAGGTAGTATTTAGAGTTCTTAAGATAAATTACTCCTTGTCATTTTGGGATAGTGCCAGTCAGATCCCATGTCTCTTATCACCCCAGTGGGCACCAGTGGGCAGAGACACCCCTTGGCCTGAAGAACAAGCAGGAGATCAGTGGTGTTCAGCTGTTATGGGGCCTCAGGAGCCGTGTGTAGATCCCACATTCAAAGGGCACCAGCCACGTATTCCCACATGAGGGGGGATTTGGGGAAATCCTTCCCCAGGGACACAGCTGAGGGCTCGGACTGCCGAGCTCAGGCTGGCACTGGGTATGTTCACCTGGCAATGGCTGCCTGGCAGGGCAGTGAGGATGGGCTGGGTCAGCCCCTGGACACCCTTAGGCAATGAGCAGAGCAGCCCTCTAGAGACTCCCTGTCCCCTAAGCAGGGATCCCAAAAAGGTGACACACTTGGCTCGCTGGAAGCCACTGTCCCCTCCATTGCTGTGCTCGGTTCTCCTGGTGGCACTGTCACGGTGGGTGGCATTAACTGTTCCTCAGGATCCCCTGCCTTCATCCCAGGACAGGCAGTGCTTTCTGCTGCTCATCCTGGGGACGGCTCTGCCCCAGGACAGAGCTGTGGGGGCATCCCGGGAGCAGCGTGGCAGGAGGAGGCTCTGTTGTGTAATGAATTGTTCCAAGCAGCAGCCAGCTATTTTTATCGGCCACGATCAGATTGTGAACTCTGAATCATCATTAATGCAGGGCTCTGGCAGGCAGCAGCCCCCAGCACCACATCCAGAGCTCTGCTAATTCCGGGAGCGCTGGGCTCCGCGTGGGCAGGCAAACGTCACCTGCACCTCAGCTCACGGATCCTTTCAGCTTCCAGCAGCAGGAGAGGGGAGGCATTTTCCCCCTGCAGGTGGCAAATCATCTCTCCAGATTCCAGCCTGTTGTTACCCTGCTGCTGGTTCCAGGTACAAAAGCCACCTCAGTGTTTGCAGCCAGCCGGGATGGCTGGGCCGGGTTTGCCTGGGAATTGTGGAGCCCTGGAAGAGCTGATGGGCAGAGGGCAGGACAAGCTGACCCCCGAGGGTACCCTCAGCCCTGTCAGTCTGGGGATTGCTTCCTCCTGGAGGATGTGTGCTCTGGGCAGTCCCATTTTACAGGCTGATGCTTCTCCTGATGTGCTACCAGCCTGTCCTGACATCACCCAAGTGGCTCCTGACCCTTTCTGGCCAACCCTGCCTCAGTAGTACATGGATGCAGGGAGCCAGAGAATTCTGGAATAGTTTGGGGGGGAAGGGACCTTGAAGCCATCCAGTCCCACCCCCTGCCAGGGGCAGGGACACCTCCCACTGTCCCAGGTTGCTCCAAGCCCCGTCCAAGCTGGCCTTGGACACTTCCAGGGATCCAGGGGCAGCCACAGCTGCTCTGGGCACCCTGTCCCAGTGCCTCAGCACCACTTGGAGAGCTCTTCAAGTGCCCTTTTCTGGACCAAGGCCTTGCTCAGCTGTGGCAGCTGTGGCTGAATCAGCAAAGCCGGGTGGCCAGGGAGGGGACAGGGAGTCCTTGCATGGCACGTGTGTGCCAAGGGCAGGGGCAGAGGCAGCAAAGAGCTGCCTGGGGAGGGTGAAATGAGCCTCCAGCCCAGCACTGCCTGGTTCTTCAGGAGCCCTGTAACACCCAGGGCACCCCAGTCACAGCCCGTACAGCTGGGCAGCCCCCACATGCTGTGTCACACACAGCAGTGTGTCACACACACCCCACAGCCACATGGAGCTGGATGTGGCCCCATGGAACCAGTGAGGTTGGAAAAGGCCTCAATGTAGTCCAACCATTGACCCAGCACTGCCACCTTCAGCACTAAACCATGTCCCCAAGTGCCACATCCACACGCCTGCGGTACACTTCTTGCTATAGTCCCAATGTGCACATACAAGGAGCAGAAATCTGGGTGAGTGTGGGGCGCTCTCAGAGCTCCCTGGGGTCTGGCAGGCTTGGTGAGAAGGACTGAGCCCTGTCCAGGGCCTCTGCCATGGATTGGACTGGCAAATGCCAGCCAGCTGCAAAGAGAGATCATGGAACAGATGGGAGCAGAGAGCAGTGAGCTGAGGCTGTGAGGCCCCTCCTGCTGTCCCCTCCTTGCTGAGAGAGGGCAGGGAGTCTGCCCTGTTCTCTGCCTTCTCTGTGCCCTCAGGATAAGCTGGTCTAAGGTGGATTTGCAACATTTAAGACAATAGAAATAAGTCAGCATCTCCTGAAAACCATGTCCACTCCAGAAGTTGAAGAGGAGGGGGCATGGTGGGCAGTGGCATCAGTTTGCCCAATTCCCCTGTGGTGCAGAGCTCCAGCACAGAAGCTGATCACAGCCAGTGGTCCCTAAGGTCCTGACATGGCTGGTTGCCCATCCCTGGAAGTGTCCAAGGCCAGGTTGGTTGGGGCTTGGAGCAACCTTCCAGGTCTAGTCAAATGTGTACCTGCCCATGGCAGGGGGTGGGACTGGATGGGCTTTCAGGTCCTTCCACCCCAAACCACTCAGGAATTCTGTTCTGTTGTTCCAAGCCCTGCCTAGTGTCTGGAGCTGCTGGAGGTGCTGCTGGAGGTGGGTTGGGTGCAGCTCACCCAGACCTGCAGGCTGTGAACCAGGCCCAAGAAGCTGCCTCTGGCTGGGGCCTGGTACACACAAAAGTGCCATAAATCAGCTCAGCTCAGGTCAATTCATCTCCTCTGACCATCAGCAAAGCCTTTGGGAAGAGCAAGGGCAGTCCTGAGAAAACAGACTGAGTGGAACAGAGGTAATGGGGTGAAACCAGTCCCTGTCCATGGGCTCAGGGTTCTGTCCTGGCTCTGGCAGCCCCTGCTGTGACCCTCTGCTGGACAGGTCTTCTCCTGCAGTGGCCCTGGTGCCCCCTCTGTGGTGCAGGGCTGACCACCCCTGCCAGGGTGCCTGGCTCAAGGCAGGGTGACACAGCAGGGACACTGGCACCTGTCCCAGGAGACAGCCCTTGCAGTCTGTGAGCTGCAGGATCATGGATTTGGGAGATTTCGTTTCAAGCTTTTTTCATCTTTCCAAATCTAAAAGATGGTGGGGAAGATCTTGCTGGATTCTTCCCTTCTCTGACCCCATGTCTCAACAAAGTGCCAAGGATTGCAGAGAGTAATTGAAAGTAAGAAAACATTTTAAGCCATCTTAGAGGGAAAGCAGCTGACAGAGGAGGCAGCAAAGACAGCGTGGTGAGCTCTAGCACGTGCCCAGCAGCAGGGATGCACCTCACACCTCCCTTGCTGCCGAGGGAGGTGCTGGAGCAGGCAGGACAGGCAGGAGGATCAGCACCTGTGGCAGCCCCACAGGACAAGGGAGCAGTGACCTCTGCTATATGGAAGTGAGTGTCCACTTGTAGCAAGGGGAAGCCAGTCTGGGAAAGAGGGAGCTCCCTGCCCTCCCCTGCTCTCACTGTCCCACCCTTTCTGCCCTGCCCCTCCAAAGCCTTCTCTTCTCTTCTCTCCTTTCCCACTCATCCCCCAGCCCCACAGAGTTTCCTTCCTGCCCTTTTGCCTCTGCAGCACTTGGAGCCAGCCTGACCCTGGCCCTTCTCCTCCTCCTGTGCACACTAGACTGCCATTGATCTAAGTTCTTAATTCCATTCCATTTCCCCATTTGCTTTGATTCATAAGGCAGTTTGAGTTTATCTGGAGCCCAGTGAGCACAAGGCAGTCAAGGACTGCCCTAGGAGGAGATTCCTGCTTCAAATATCAGCTGCTCTCAGAAGGCAAAGATGTATTTACTATCAATATCCAGAGCCATCCCTTTGTGATCAAATCAGGGTGTGGAGTCTCCTCGGGGAGCCTGGTTCCTGTGCTGGTTCCTGTGCTGGTTCCTGTGCTGGTTCCTGTGAGCCTGGTCCCGCAGCATCCCTCGGAGCCAGCCTGTCGATTCCTGCCACTCTGCACTGACTCCACTCACACAACAATTTGGCCACAGTGTATGTGGGGGACAAGTTCCTCAAGGAGACTGGAGACCAATTCATGGCTAAAAGGGAGAACAGACTGCCAACCCTGCTCACCACAGGGACATATCATCTGCATGTGTTAAAAGTCATTCTCTCTGTTTTGAGCAACACTCAAACTAAACCAAAAAGGAACTAAGAAACTAAACTAAAAGGTAACAGGAAATAAGAGTTCATCTATATATTCTGTGATTTTAAATAGGTTTTGAGTATGGAAAATCAACTTATTGATTGACAGCTTAACTCATATAAATATTGATTGATTTTTCTTTTAAGCAAATCCAAAATGTTTGTCATTTTTCCCAGTATAACACAGTAAAGATGAGGATCCCTCTGAACCAAGCAGGATGGGGAAAGACCACTGGGGAGATGTTCAGTGAGGATCCCTCAGGGGATCCCTCTGTCCCAGCTGCCTTTCCACCACCCACAGGGATCCCACACCTGCTGAAAGGAAGGGACCAAGCCCAGCCCCTCACTGTGGCAGACGGCACAGAGGGGCTGGCTGGGAGGGTGGCACAGGTGACACAGCTCCCCAGGAATGGTGCAGCCCAGCAGGAATCATCGTCTGAGCAGTCAACAGCTTCTCTAGTCAGACTCTGAGTGCTCAGAAACACCTCAGCTCTTACAGAGCTACTGACACACTGTGCTCCGGGGCAGAACCTGCCAGGAAGGCAGCACTGGCTGGAGAGGAGCTGTTTGCCATCATGTCACATTAGCACAGCTGTGGGAGCTGTGCCAGCCCCGGGATCCATCACCTCAGCAAAGCTGGGGTGCTCAGCTCCAGACTGCCTGGGCTCAGCAGGACCTGCTGGGCTTTGACAGCGGGCTTTCCTCCAGCTCCCCGAGCAGATGGGACAGAGCAGGGACCTGCTGGCAGTGCCTTTGTCACACTGTCCAATACCTCGTGCAGCACCAGAACAGCAGCAGCAGTGTTGTTGAGCAGCCTGTGGCTGGGCACTGAGGCACACGAACACTGCACCTGCAGTGGGAACGTGAATCCTGCCCCTCCTCTGCTGGGCCCTGCTCTCTCCAGCCCCTGGTCTCACACCCCTTCTCCCCCCATCCTGCCTCTTCCATCCTGCTTCTCTCCTTTGTCCCTTAGTCATGGTGGCATTTGCTTTCAGAGGGGAACAGGGATGTGCCCCCAGGGAGGAGTGGGCTGCCAGAGGGGCTCCCAGTGGACTCTCAGCATCCTGTCTCTTCCTCCTGCTGCAGGGAGGTCTGCGAGGGCTCTGCCACACTGTCCCTGAGCCATGGTCTAGGAAGCACTGGGACCATGAAGGGCTTAGGAGACAACAGAAGCCGCCATCTCTCAGAAAACCTGGACTCCCCTCAAGACTCTCTTTATGCCCCCCAGGACAGGAACCCTTATCTCCTCAGCCCCACTGACTCCTTCACCATGGATCCCCGATTCCCAGCCCAGAACACCGTCCACGGCGACTGTCTCCTTCCACTCAATAACCAGATCTCCAACAGCAGCACTTTCCCCCGCATCCATTACAACTCCCACTTCGAGGTCCCGGATGACAACCCCTTTCCGAGCCATGCCCAAGCCACAAAGATCAACCGCCTGCCTGCCAACCTCCTCGACCAGTTTGAGAAGCAGCTGCCCATCCACAGGGACGGCTTCAGCACCCTGCAGTTCCAGCGGAGCGACGCGAAGCACCGGAGCGAGAGCCCAGGGCGCATCCGGCACCTGGTGCACTCCGTGCAGAAGCTCTTCGCTAAGTCCCAGTCTCTGGAGGGCCCCACCAAGGGCAACGTCAACGGGAAGAAGGGGGCAGATGACGCCAAGCAAAACCGGAGGAGCAAGAGCAAGGACCGGGCAAAGACCTCCGAGCCCAAGCGCAGGACCAGGTCCAACATCTCCGGCTGGTGGAGCTCCGATGACAACCTGGACAGCGACACCTGCAGCTACCGCAACCCCATGGGGCTGATGACGCTGGGCCGGCAGCCCGACCACAGCCAGCCAAAGTACTTCATGCACGCCTACAACACCATCAGCGAGCACATGCTGAAATCCTCCAAGAGCAATAATGACCTCAAGGTCACCCCTTGCACCAATATTCCCATCAACAACGACTCCAACTACATCAAGCGGGGCTCCTGGTCCACGCTGACGCTCAGCCATGCCCGGGAGGTGTGCCAGAAGGCCTCCGCCACCATTGACAAAGCCTTGCTCAAATCCAAGTCCTGCCACCAGGACCTGGCCTACCACTACCTGCAGGTGGGTGGCACAGGGGAATACGGGGTGCTCTGTGCAGGGAGAGCACAGGAGTTCAGGGACATCCTCCCGCTGGGCACCTGTGTGACCTTAGCAAATATGTCCAGATGGTTCAGCTGTCACCTCAGGTCACAGTGCCAGGATAGGGCTGGGGAGGCCCCTGGGAAAGGCCCCTACTCCGTCTGTGGGGGCACGGCTGCTGATGGGGTCCATCTCCCACAGCTGCAGCACCCCCAGTCCCTGTGGAGGGGACATGCCACCCCACCTCCTCTGCTGGGTGTGACCCCATTTCCTGCAGGCATCCCACATGTCCCCACTGCCTGCCCAGGCCCTGCAGGTGCTGTGGGACACTCCTGGGCAGGTGGGGATGTAGCTGCCCCATGTGGCTGTTTCCCCTGAGTGCCTACCAGCCGGGAATGCTGAGGGGCTGTGAATGCTGTCCATATCTCACTGGACACAGCTCCCCAGGCCCCCACGGAGACCCCTGTGCCATGGGCTGAAGGTCAGCAGCACTAACTAATGCTTCCCCCTTATCTCCACGCATCGCAAGGATGTGCCAGCGTGCCCGGTCAGCCCCGCTCTGCCCAGCTTCCCCGGAGCACTGGTAGGACCTGCAGCCACCTCGCTGCTCACCTGTGGGGCAGGGCTGGGGCAGCAAGGCAGTGCCAGCCTCGCTTGCATGGCCTGCATGGCTGATGCTGGTTTGCACCCTGACACCCACGGCTCCCGGTCTGCAGCAGGCTCCAAAACGGCGCTGGAGCAGCGTGAACCTGATTGTGCCCTAGAGAGAGGAATGAAGACAAATAAGCCAGGCCTGGATGGGGGGAGGAGGGGACCAGTCTATGCATGTAAATCTCTAGCATCCTTTTAATGCAGGGGTGCCAGGGGCTTCCTTGGCTGTGCCCATGGAGTTAGAGGCTTTAAAAATGGATGAATTATTGAAGCATAGTCAGCTTCCAATACCTTGCTGGCCACGGCTGCAAATTAAATTTCCAAGGGACCAAACTGACTGCATCAGGAACACCAGCACGGAAAATGATCTTGGCCTGGTTTCTTTTTCTTTACCCCTGCTCCTTCCCGTAAAGCATTTGAGGTTAAAGAGCTGCAGCCAAGCTCTCCAAGGGCCCTGTTCCCTCAGACTGCAGCACCAAGCCCAGCAGGCAGCCCCAACAACCCCTGTCAGGCTCTGGGGTGCAAGGCTGCCCTGCTCCTTCCCCCCCTGTAATGAGGCTCCATTTCTCGACAGCCTGACGCAGGGCTGTGGGCACAGCCGGGTGGCATGGGCCTGGCCAGCAGCTGGGCAGCCCCATCGCTCGGCTGGGAGGACACGGCCGCCCTGCGGAGCTGGGACCAGCCCCTCAGCCCCGGGCCGACCGACGCAGGCAGTGGCCAGGTAGGGATCTTGTTTTGAGGAGGGGCTTTTACCCAGTCCCTCCTGCTCTGATCCTCCTGGCACCACTGGCCAGGGGCTCAGCCTACACCAGCGGACTTGGAGTGGGCAAGGAGCAGCCAACAGTCACAACTGTCATGGCAGGAGGGGCACAGGGGGACACTGGGATGTGACCAACATCCCCAGTGCCTGGGGCAGGCCTTGTGCTCGGTTCACCACCAGAACCAAGACCCCGGGCACCCGGTCCCAAAACCACGATGCCTGGTGCCCCCACAAGCGACAGGTCACAGATGCTTGGGCTCACCCTGTCCCCAGGTGCCCAATGTCAGCCCCAAAAATCAGGACACAGGGCTCAGGCACCTCACGGAAGGATGGGGTCACTGTATCCCACTCCCTCCTTAGCACAGACGAGGCGATGGAGAAGTCACCTCTGGAGCCTGTGTGTGGGGAATGTCCCCTTCTCACACCTGGGGACAGAGCGAGCCCTCTCCCTCTGTGTGCCAGGGCGAGGAACAGCAAGGATCTGCTTTGCCAGTGCCTGGGGGACACGGGAGCCCTCCCTGCTGCAGAAATGCCCAGTGGGTGCCAGAGGTGCAGGCACATGAGGGAGTGGGATGGGGACAAACAGGACACCCCAGCCTCCAAGGCTATTCACCTCTCCTGCCCCATTTGAAAGGTCTGGGTATTATGGGGATTCATCAGCAACTACTGGAGGTCCATGTGATGTTTCCAGGCTCTGGAAACATCCATACCCAGTTGCTGTAGCTGGTGATCGCCTAGCTCCAGGTCCAGCCCTGTGCCATCAGGGTAGGGGTCTCTCGGATCAGTCCCTAGGGTGACACAGGTCCATCCTTAGAGCACAGTCTCTAAGGAGAGAGGCTGTGCTCCCCATCCCCTGGCCCATGGGCCCCATATGCAGCTGAGAGCACAAGGAAAGAGACTGAGAAGCTCCTTGGAGTGGGAGATGCCCCAGGCAGGAGTGAGCAGGAGCTGTGGATCTGCAGACAGCAGTGAAGGGACGGGCATTGTGGTGGCTCAGAAGGGACAGTCACCATTAACCTGATGCATCATCCAGACCAGCCTCCCCAAGCCCACCTACAGTCAGACCACCCCAGAGCTTCCCGAGTTCATCGTACAGAGTGGGTGGCCTGTTCAGTGCCAGCCACTCCACAGCGCCGAGTGCCTCACACCAGCCACCGAGCTGCCATGGAGCAGGAACACGGACCAGGTCCTTCCCAGAGGGTGCCCTGCCAGAGGGACAGCCCAGCTCCAGCTTGCTTTCTCGAGGACACGGCTGCCGAGGGAGCAGCACTGTGCCCGCAGCAGTGCAGCCTGTGCATGGCCCGTGCAGCCCTGCAGGGCTCAGCAGGGCGGGTGTTCCTGTGCTGCATGTCTGTGTGTGCAGGGCTGGGCTGCATGGCAGAGCTGGCACTTGTGTGATGGAAACCATGTTTGCTCCTCGAGTCTCTTCCCCCTGACCTGTCCCGAGTGGAGGGAGTGCTGCAGCTCCTGCCAGAGCCCAGCAGTGGAACTTTCCCCGTCTCCCTACTCCCCACCCTGTTAGGGCTCAGGGACTGGGGGATGCCCCCAGGGCAACCTCCCCCATGGCTCCTTCCTTCTTCCCTCCACGCTCAGCTCAGGGCAGGAGAGCAGCAGAGCCAGACTGTGCTGCTGGTTGGTGACTGTGCAGCACCTGGTGACAGTGCAGTGTGGTGGCAGCACCTGGTGACAGTGCAGTGTGGTGGCAGCACCTGGTGACAGTGCAGTGTGGTGGCAGCAGTGGAGCCCAACTCCAGGGGTGGACACATGCCTGGATGCCACATCCTTGCAGTACATGGCACCACATGGACCTCGACTGGGCACAAGGAAGGACCCACATTGTGCAGCCCTCAAGTCCTCATAGAGTCTCCAGACCCAGGCATTCCCTTAGTCCCGCTCCTTCCATGGCACCCAAAGCACGATGGGCAGAGTCAAGGCCGCACCTGGGGGAGCAGGAGGAAGGCCAGCAGAGCCCCACCACCTGTGAGGAGCTGCTCTGTGCCTGGCCTGGGTGCCCTCATGTCCACTTGGGCATGACACAGTCTGTGCTCAGAGCCCCAGGTGTCACCTGCCAGGAGCTCTGCTGCCCAGGAGGGGCTGCCCTGGCCACTGCCAGGTCTGTCCTTGATCGCAGAAGCTGCTCTGGGCTTGTCACCCCTATCGCAGACCTGCGGACTGTGGGACAGGCTCTTCACATCCTCCCGCAGAGAAGCACCCCAGAGGACCCCAAACAGCGCCCAAAGGACCTGCTTTGCTTTTGCAGGGCCCTGGGGGCCCCTGCTTGTCTTTGCAGATGTGACACTTAGGAAACACTTCTGCTCTCTGTCCCCGGGAGTGAGAGCTGTGGCAATCCCAGTGGACCCTGTGCAGGCAGAGGTGGGACATGCTCTGAAGTGGGGCAGTGGATTCAGGGGTCTCCTCCCAAGCACCTTCCTTCCCGTGACTGCTGAGCTGGAACGGAGAGCACCTTGAGAGCAGCTCTGTGTCCTGCTGCCTTGCCAAGGCACAAAGCAGAGGAGAGGCAGGGAAAGCAGGATTAAGGCAGCTTGGTGAGAGCCAGGCGCTGTTGTGACGCCCCAGAGACGCTGTTCCTGGGAGAGGGACAGGTCCCAGAGCGGCAGGCAGTGCTAGGGCTGCACCAGCAGAGAGACACGCCCTGGAACTGTCTTTGTGCCTCTGTGCCCAGTGAGCCCAAGGCCAGGGGGCAAATGCAGCGGCCATGGGAGAACTGAGCAGCCCCAGCCCATGCCCTCGAGCAGTGGCAGCAGAGCAGCTGCAGGATCCTGAGGGCTGAAAGCCCCCACTGTCCTGGGCTGGGCTCAGCACCCCTCACTGCCTCACACCATACAGCACTGGCCCTGCACAGGGACAGCCAGGCATTCCCTGTCCTGCAGTCCCTGTCCTGCATGGCACATTTAGCTGCTGACTGGCCCTGCCCTCCTCAGCCAACCTGGACTTCCCTATCTTTCTCCTGACTTGCCCCACACCACATGCAGCTCATCCTGGTCAGTCCTGGGCACTTTGGTTCTGCTCTGCTTTGATCCCCCCACAAACCCTTCACAGGATGGGCAAGCAGGGTGGTGGCTTACTATGGCTGCTCAGTGCTTCAGGCCTCCCGTGGGACCATCAGCTCACTCCTGTCTAGTGAGGGAACAAAAGACTGTGTCTGCCTTAAATTAATTGTGGAGTTGTCATCTTGGTGGGGTTAGAAGTGCTTTCCATGCCCAAGGTGCTGCTCATCTCTATGCAGAGGGGCCAGCACAAGGTCTATGTGTCCAAGCTGCTCTAGAGGGACTGGTGAGAGCCTAACCTGGTTTCAGAAAGTAATTTCAGCCAGAGTCACATTCAACTCAAAACCTTAAAGAGCCCATGAAGGTCCAGGCTCTGAGCCCCAAGCCCTGCTCCACAGCAGCACCGTTATGTTCAGTGATGTGGTCAGTGTGGTGAACACCCAGGTCCAGCCCTGTCCCAGTGCCCCACACAGGCCCAGTGAGACCGTCCCCTCCTCCCGTTACGCCTGGCATTGTGCAGTTTGTCCTGGCTGTGTGAGCATGTGTGGGATGGAGGTGTCCAGCAACAGGGAAATGGCTGTGATGTGCTAAAACAGAGGCCACCAAAGCAAGAGCTGCCTGGCATGAAATGGTAAGGGAGGGTCATGAAGGAATTGTGTTGCTTATTCCCACTACATTACAGCAGAAGTACAAGAATCTCCACAGTTCCCCATGATCCTGCTGGTCCCAGGATCGTGGGCATGTGCTCTCCCTCACATCTGCTCATGCTCCCGTTCCTCCTGCAGGTGCCTCACGGGGAGTGGAACAACACACTGTCCCGGGACAAGGACAGCGAGATCCCGTGCCGGCGCATGCGGAGCGGGAGTTACATCAAAGCCATGGGGGATGATGATAGCGAGGACTCAGAAACCAGCCCCAAACCATCCCCGAAAACTGCAGCTCGGAGGCAGAGTTACCTCAAGGCCACCCAACAGTCCCTGAGTGAGCAGAGCACCACACAAAGGTAACACTGGAGCTCCTCTGGGAGCTCTGCACAGGTCCTCAGGACCACCACTGGAGCAGTCCTTGGGTTGCAGCAGCCCACAGAGTGTGGCATCAGAGCCCAGCAGGGCTCCTGCACCCCAGATCTAACAGAAGAAGATGTGGTAGCCCATCCTGATGATTCCCAGTAGCCCTGGCGTTAGGAGCTGCTTCAGGTCCCTGTCCCCTCAGCCATGGGGAGAGCACTCCTCTGATGGAGCTGTGGGAATTTCCACTCCAAGCATCTTCTGCTCTGGGGGAATGCAGAGATCACAACCCCAAGAGGCCCCTTGGCCATGGAAGCTGCTCACGCAGCATGGCTGAGGACACTCTGCCTGCGGGGGCTGTGCCTGGAGCTGCTCTGCTCCAGAGGTGTCCAGGTGTTCCCCCTCTGGAACAGAGAGGTGGCACACTGGGCTGGCGGATATCCTGAAGAACTGAGAGGTTTGGCACCAGGTGTTGAGGGAGGAAGACCCACAGTGGTTTGAGCCAGACAGACAAAGCCAGGGGAGCAGAGCAGGAGCTTTGCTGGGCCAGAGGCTGGTCCTGAAGGAGGGGCTCTGCATGACCCAGGCACTGATGCTGTGCAGTGTCCTCAGAACCTGCTCAGCATCCAGGGACAAGGCACCTGGGGGCTGTCAGTGCTCTGGGCACAGCTTGGGCAGCTGTAGGTGGTACAGAGGGGCAGGGAGAAGCAGGAGCCACTGGGGATGAATTGCTGAGGCTCAGCAGGCAGAGAGAAGTGGAGTGCAGGCAGTGTGGGGACACCTCACAGAGCCTTTGCATTGAGACCAGGTGCTGCATTCTGCTGGGAGATGGTGACAAAATCAGCTGTGGGGAGCCCTGGAAATGCCTGCTCTGGATCCATCCCTGTTCCGAGCCTTCACATTCACCTCAGGGGAGCCAGGTGTGACACACCGGGAGGAGGCCGGAGCCGGGGGTGACACCGGGGATGAGGCCGGAGCCGGGGGTGACACACACCGGGATGAGGCCAGAGCCGGGGGTGACACAGCGGGACGAGACCGGAGCCGGGGTTAACACACCGGGAGGAGCCAGGGGTGACACACCGGGATGAGGCCGGAGCCGGGGTGATACACCGGGGATGAGGCCGGAGCCGGGGGTGACACACCGGGGATGAGGCCGGAGCCGGGGTGATACACCGGGGATGAGGCCGGAGCCGGGGGTGACACCGGGGATGAGGCCGGAGCCGGGGGTGACACACCGGGAGGAGGCCGGAGCCGGGGGTGACACACCGGGATGAGGCCGGAGCCGGGGCTGACACACCGGCAGGAGACCGGAGCCGGGGTGACACACACCGGGACGAGGCCGGAGCCGGGGGTGACACACACCGGGAGGAGGCCGGAGCCGGGGGTGACACACCGGGGATGAGGCCGGAGCCGGGGGTGACACACCGGGATGAGGCCGGAGCCGGGGGTGACACACACCGGGAGGAGGCCGGAGCCGGCCGGAGCCGGGAGCGGAGCGCGGCCGCCCCCTGCTGCCCGGCCCCCGCCGCCCGGCGCAGTCCCGGGCCCCAGCAGCCGAGGGACCCGGGTTGGGGCCGGGACCGGGGGCTGCGGGGCCGGGCAGAGCCAGGGCAAGGCACAGAGCCGTCCCTCCGCGAGGGTCTCTGCCCCTCCAAGGGCTGCTGGCCGCTCCGTGACTCGGTTTCCCCGTGGGCAGGCGGGGTGAAGGCAGTGGGGTGGCACAGGGACGCTGCCCGCCTCAGGACATGGTGTGAGCTCACGGGCAGAGCCCTCAGCATGAGGGAAATCCGGCAGAGAGCCCAGGGCTAGGTGTGTGACATGGCCCTTGGTCCCCAAGGCCAGGGGGTGTCTCCTCCATCTCCCCTGGCAGAAGGGACAGTTCCCAGCTCCCATCCCAGCCCGGGATGGACGCTTCAGGGTCCCTGTGGGATGCCCACATACTGCACAGGGCCTGCCATGCCCTCAGCTCTGCTGTGTCCAGGCAGGTGACATTCAGAACTCTGTACCCACAGCCCTGGTAGGCGTGAGTTTTCTGTCCAAATGTAAATATACGTATCTTGCAGTTGTTTCCAATTGCAAAGCCCACAAAATATAAATTAAAAGTAGTTTCTCACCTTGCCTCTCCCCCCTTTTCCAGCAATCCAGGCAGTGCTGTGACTGGAGGCTGGCACAGATCCCACATGCTCCCTGGGGCTCTGCTGGACTAACTTGGCATCTGCATACATTCCTGGGGGCAGCAGGACCCAAAATCTTGCACTCCTTCCACTGCACCCCACAACATTTTCCCTATGTGCCGTGCCCAGCCAGGGGCTGGCAGGGTGAGGAAGAGCTGCATTCTCCAGGAGCCGAGCAGTGGGCACCGTGCCCAGCATCACCCCAGTGCTGCCCCGCGTGTGCCTGTGCCTGTGCCTGTGCCTGTGCCTGTGCCTGTGCCTGTGCCTGGCAGAGGGGCCGTGGGCAGGGGGGTCTGGCCGTGGGCAGGGGGTTCTGGCTCTGCTCCAGCACTGCCCCAGAGCTGCCCCTGCCGTGGGGACACCCTCACATCCTCTCTCTGCTGGCAGGAGCCTGGACCGCCTGGACTCTGTCGAGATCCTCCTACCTCCGAAGTTCCCCACCTGGGAGGAAGAATACAACCAGATCTCTGACAGTGCCAACGAGTCCAGCTGCATCAACCAGGTGAGGTGCTGAAGTGCTGGCCTACTGTGCTGGCACAGGCAGTGAGGGAGGAGGCCAGCTCAGGGGGGAAGGAGCATCTTCTTCCCTCTTCAAAGCAAGGCACTGGCTGTGCTCCAGGAACTGCACAGGCTGTTCCCTGGCAGCTTTACCAGTGTCATGGCCAGCTCTTTAATCAGGATTCATATTAGACGTCCTTCCTGCAGTTTTGCCTCCTCTCATACTGCTGGTGCAGCCAAAATCCCTCTGCCACAGGTGTGGTAACCCTGAGGATGCCCCACAGTGCTGGGGGAGCTCAGGGCTGCTCCGGGTGCAGGGTCTCTCTGTGCCACCCCCCAGAACCATCTGCAAGGCTGTTCAACCTTGCTGCAAGTCCCTCATGCCCACTGGGCTGGTCAAGAGCCAGGGCCAACCTCTCCTGCTGGTGTCCAGCCTGGGACCCTGCAGGGCTACCAGAGACAGTCACCCTGCTCAGCTCAGGACCTCACCCCTCATGTAGCAGACTGGACCCAGGAACAAGGAGTCCATAGCTGGGGAGGCTGTCCTGCCAGCCAGCTGGTGGTGTCTTTTTTGGATATTCCTGGGCACCATGGCAAAGCCAAGGATGCCTGTGAGATGCTGGCAAAACCCTTGCCACAAGGTGGGTTCATGCCCCACCTGCAACATTTGGGATGCAGTTGATGCAAAATGGGTCAAACGTCCCACACTATGGTTGTGGGATTACTCTGGAGCTCCCTGGGGCTGGGATTGGTCTGGAGCTGCCTCCCAGGCTGGGAGATACCTGGTGCCAGGACAAGCCTTTGCAGGGGTCCCATGTGCTCATCTCAGCCCTTCCACCGCAGGGCAGCAATGGCCCCACAGCCTTGCCCAACAAGCCCTGTCAGCCCAGGTCTCTGTCTCATCTGATCCTGTGTGTCTGCATGGGGAGCACCCCCACAGCTGCTCTGTGTGTGCAGGGGGCCCAGAGCAGCGGGGTGGGCACCAGAAGCCCTGTGGGAGGGGTGGGAAGGGCATGTCCTGCTTGTGTTCCCATCCAGGAGTGGGGAGCTCTGAGCCCCTTGGCTGGGGTCTCCTGCTGTCCCAGAGCAGTTGGAGCCCTTGCAGGGGAGCTGGGGGGAGCAGGGGCATTGCTGGGCATTCCTGTTCCCTGTGGCCAGTCCTGTCCCTTGTGCAGCAGCGGCAGCAGCAATGTGCTGCGTGTCTCGGTGCACAGCAGGGTCAGGACTGCCATGTCCTTGTCCTTTATGTGTCAGTCTGTGCTGAAGTCTCTGCAGGAGACCCTGGCTCTGTGCTCTATCCATGTCGAGAGCTGCTCCCAGGAGCTGAGTGCAGCACCACCACAGAGACATCAGGAGGGTCTTGGAGCTGTAGGGTCTGAGCAGCCCATGATCTGCCAGGAGCTGCAGAGGCAGCCAGCCCAGAGCCAGGCTGGTGGCACTGGGGACACAGTGACTGCCACAGCACCCGCTCACACAGAGGGGCTGCTGCCATCACGTGCACTCTGCCACTGTCCCCTCAAAACCAGAGAGCTCAGCTGCAGCTGGTCAGGATTGAGAGGCCTCCCACAAACTGCACATCTGTGATCCAGGATGGAGCTGGTTCATCCACCAGTGCGTGCTGGTCTCATCCATCCCAGTGCCAGAGGCAGTTCCTGCCCTGCCCTCGCTTCAGTGTGACCTCCACCATTTTCATTGCGTGTCCAGCCAGACACACAGTGTCTTCCCACATGGAAACACCTGCAGCTCTGATGGACAAGTCCCCTCTGCTCGGTTTTGTCCCCACCCAGCTCCACCCTGCAGCCCTCTGGCAGTCTGGGGATCACCAGGTGCATGTGTCAGCACCCCCTGTCACACCAAGGGGGGCAGAGCTGGTGATCCCAACACTGCCGCACCCCACCATGGGCTGTGTCCTGTGCAAGAGGGCCAGGCCCATTCCCAGAGCTGTGCCTCTTCCCTCAGGCACACTTTGAACCTGGATTCTCCCCAGAGGGTCATCCCGGGCAGCTGGTGCCAGGCAGAGCCCCAGGGGTGGCGAGGAGGAGGAGGAGGAGGTGGCAGCCATGCTCCCGGGCAGCACAGTGTCTGTCGGGGCTCTGTCAGTATGCTGAGTGTGTGCCGTGGCTTTGCTCTGCTGGGGAAGCAGAACAGCTTCTGTGTGGCTTCTTCTGGCACGGGGAGACAGCAGCGAGGTGGCCAGGCCAGCCCTGCAGGCTGCAGGACAGCTCCCCCAACACGGGGCACTCGGGCTGCCCACGGCTCTGTGGGCTCTGAGGTGCTGGCCAGTGCTGGGGGCTACCCAGAGGTGCTCAGTGGGGGCCACAGCCACCTTGTGCAGCTGCCCCAGTGTGCAGAGGGGTGTCCCAGCTCGGTGTCCCCAGTGTCCCCTGCGGGTGTACGCGGATATGGTGCACACAGGAGGCTGAATGCTCAGCAGCTTCTCCCGTGGTTGAGGTGTCCCGTGGAGCTTTGCCGTGTCTGTGCCACTGTCTGAGGGGCCTCTGTGGCCTCGCTTGGCATCTTACAAGCTCTGCAGTTTGTACTGAAGTGTCAGCAGCAGTGGCCCCAGGGGACAGCTCCCCTTGTGCTCAGTCCCTGTGCAGTAACTGTCTGTGTGAGGGGCTCCCTGTTCTTGGCCTTTAACCTTCTCCAACTCTTTCTTCCAGATCTTTGGACCCCCCTCACTTATCCCTCAGATATTTACCCATGGAGAGCAGGTATTGTCCCGCTGGCGTTTCTCTCATCCTTCCTCACAGAGCTTTCTGGGGCCAGCCTGGACACCCATGTCAGGGTGTGACACGGGCTCTGGGGTCAGCCCATGCCCAGGCCAGTGCAGGAGGAGAAGGAAAAGAGGAAGAGAAGGAGACAGTACTCCTTACCCAGGCACTGCAAGGCAGCTGGAGAGCTTGAGTCCTGGGCCCACAGGGGCTTAGGGACTGTCAGTTTTAGGAGGAAAGCAGATTAACTTCTTGAGCCAAACCTCCTGGAGCTCAGCTGTCAATGCTGGGCAGGAAAAATGTCCTTGTGTGCCAGGAGAAAGAAAGGGCTAGGAGAGATGGATGTGAGCAACAGGGCCAGTCTCAGCATCTCTCACCTATATTTCAGAACAGTCTGCCTAGAGCTGGGTCTGGTTTGACCTGGCTGACCCTCTCCCAAGACCAAGTTTGCCCAGCAGCTGCCACAGCAGAGCAAGGCAGGGCTGTAGGCAGGAAGGAGGAAGGTGGGGCAGTGGGAGAGCTGCCCCTGCCCTGCTCACCCCTGGCCACAGCCAAGCCCTCTCCTGGCACTCAGCAGGGATGGGGCAGTGGTGGATTCCAAGACCCACCCTAGGCATGTGTGAGGACATGTTGGCCCCCGAGGAGCAGGCGTGCCCTGGTGCACTCTCACATTGAGGCTGGGGTGTCCCGGCTGTGCTGGGCAGGGCCCTGGCAGAGGCTGCATCGGGATTTTGGCCACACGTGCTCTCTGCAGCAGGACTGGGGGTGTTTCACAGGCACTGCTCTGGTAAGTGTCCACTACTCCACAAGCTGGGACTCTCGCCTCCCTCTCTCAGCAGAGAGCCCCGGGCAGCCTGTGCCCAGCAGCACTGACCACTGACCACTGACCACTGACCACTGACCGCTGCACCTCCCGTGCCCCCTGCCGTGAGCGGGACCTCCAGGAGTGGCCGGAGGGCGAGGAGCAGGACGAAAGGGAAGGGAAGGGAAGGGAAAGGGAAAGGAAGGGCGGCCGCAGGCAGGGGCTGACAGGGCTGCCCTGTCCCCCTGCAGGCACCCGAGCCGGAGCTGGGGGAGCAGTACGAGCCCGTCTGCGACTCCACCTACAGCGAGGCCGAGTCGGCGGCTGCGGAGGTGCTGGACCTGCCTCTGCCCAGCTATTTCCGATCCCGGAGCCACAGCTACCTCCGCGCCATCCAGGCGGGCTGCTCCCAGGAGGACGACACGGGCTCCGTCCGCTCCATCTCCCCGCCGCCCACGGGCAGCCTCAGCGGCAGCAGGACCCTGCCCACCAACAGTGAGTGCAGCGGCGTGCGGGCACAGGGGACACGGCTGTCACTGCCTGGGGGTGGTCGAGCATGTGAGGGGCTGGGCTGGGGTCCCTGCATCCCCAGCCCTGGTTGTCCATGACTTTGGGGGCGTGTGGGAGCTTGCTGTGTGCCCGAGAGGAGGGGCAGCAGCTAGATGTGGGTGCTGGAATGGCAGATGGGCTCTGGGTGCTGGGTCAAAGGAGGTGTGACCAACAGGTCAAGGGAGAAGATCCCCCCTGCTATACTCTGCTCTCATGAGACCCCTCCTGCAGAGCTGATTTCCAGCTCTGGGGCCCTCAACACAAGAAAGATGTGGAGCTGCTGGAGCAACTCCAAAGAATGCCATGGAGATGATGCTCCAAGGGGTGGAGCCCCTTTGCTCTGGAGATAGGCTGAGAGAGGTGGGAATGTTCAACCTGGAAAAGAGAAGGTCCTAGGAAGATCTTAGAGGTTAGTGAGGTGCTTGCACAGGCTGTCCAGAGCAGCTGTGGCTGCCCCATCCTTGGAAGTGTCCAAGGCTAAGTTGGATAGGGCTTGGATCAACCTGGTCTAGTGGAAGGTGTTCCTCCCCAGACAGAGGTGGATGAGCTTTAAAGTCCTTTCAACCCAAACCATTCTGTGACTCTGTGATGACACACAGAGAGAACCAACATCCCTGGCTGTGGGGTACAAACAGATCGTGCACTGAATTCCAAGGCACCAACAAGCCTTCCCAAGCCCCAAAGCCCAGCATCCCTGTGCTGAGCCATGGCAGCATTTCTGTGATGCTCCAAGTCACTTGATCCGCATCACTTTGAACTATTTTCTCCAAGGCAGCCTGTTCCCTTCCTGGCCAGCCCTGGTGCTCCATGTGGAGCTCAGGTGTAGCACAAGATGTGAGAAGCTGACAGGTTCTGTCCTGGGGATAATTTTGGGAACTGGTTAGCAAAGGTGATACCTTGGTGTTCCTGAACATGGTGGTGCCTGTTCATGGTGCAAGGCAGATGCCAGAGCAGGCAGGAGGAATGCAGAACCTCCCCAGGACTGTCTGTGGAGGCAGCACGTCCCATCACCATGGGGCCAGGGTCAGGCCCAGCAGGACGGTGCCTCAGCACCAGCTCTGGCACCAGGGCGGGTTCAGAGCAGCCTCAGCTCATCTGTTGTGGGAAAAGCTGCTACAGCACTGGGGATGGGATGGGATGGGATGGGATGGGATGGGATGGGATGGGATGGGATGGGATGGGATGGGATGGGATGGGATGGGATGGGATGGGATGGGATGGGATGGGATGGGATGGGATGGGATGGGATGGGGTTGTCAGTGGGAGACAGTACATCCCAGCTCTGGGTAGAGTGGGGAATGGGGAGGAGACACTGCAGCCTTCCTGCCTGGCTGCAGGCCTTCCTCCCCAGGGATATGGGCATGGAACATCTCCCTTCAGTGGTCTGAGCTGCAGAGCTCTGGCTCGAGCTGCAGCGCTCTGGCCCCAGTCAAGGTCCACAGGATGAGGCAGGAACTGGAGGACATCCCTGGGAGGGAGGGATGGGCTGTTTGCTCAGCCCTGTCCCTCCTTCCTGCTCCCTCTCTGTCTGTTCTGCTCCACACTCCTCCCACCTGGCTCCCCCTGTTCCACAGCCCTCTCCTTGCTGGCTCAGTGCTGCTGAGCTCAGTGCTGCCCCAGGTCCAGGCTGACAGCGGGCAGCAGCAGCAGCAGGCACAGCACAGGGGGGGCTTCCAAAATGCCTGGGTGCCACCTCTCTCTGACATAACCCAGCACAGTTCTGCTGGTTTCCAGAGCACACCCCAGCCCTTCACATTGGCTGCTGGGCCTTGGGGATGGAAAGAGTTTTGCTGGAGGATGGAGGAGCAGAGAGGAGCATCTGTGGTTGTGCATGCACAGGATGTGGGAGGCAGGAGACACATCTGGACAGCACTCACACCTCTAATCAGCCATCTGGGCTCAGTTCCCTTGCAAATCATGGAATTATTTTGATTGGAAAAGCCCTCTAGGATCATTGAGTCCTACCATTAACCCAGCACTGCCAAGCCCACCACTAACCCATGGCCCCAAGTGCCATATCCACAAGTTTTTTGAACACTTCCCATAGATGGTGACTCCACCACTGCCCTAGGCAACCTGTGATAGTGCCTGAGAACCTTTTCTATGAAGAGTTTTCCCTAATATCCAATCTTAACCCTTCCTGGTGCATCTTGAGGCCATTTCCTCTCATCCTGCCACTTATTACCTGAGAGAAGAGCCTGATCCCCACCTGGCTGCACCCTCCTCTCAGGGAGTTGTAGAGAATGAGGTCCCCCCTGAGCCTCCTTTATTGCAGGCTGAACCCCTCAGCTTCCTCCTGATGCTCCAGCCTCTTCCCCAGCTCCGTTTCTTTCCCTGGACGTGCTCCAGCCCCTCAATGCCTTTCTTGTCACAAGGGGCCCGAATGGACACAGCACTTGAGGTGTCTCACCAGTGCCCAGCACAGGGCACAGTCACTGCCCTGGTCCTGCTGCCACACCATGGCTGGTACAGGCCAGGTGTCACTGGCCTCTTGCCCACCTGGGCTCATGTTCAGCTGCTGTCAGCCAGCACCCCCAGGGCCTTTTCTGTGCATCCCTGAGGCTCTAAGTGGCTGGTGATGTAGGAGAGGGGCCTCCTGAGAAGCAGGTGGCAGCTTGGTGGCATCAGCCTGGAACATGGGAGAAGTGGGTGCACTGTCACCTGCAGGTGTAATGGTCACTCACAGCCTCTGCACCACACGGGGCTCTGGGATGACACCATTAAGAGCCCTGACCCAAACACATCCCAAGGACATTTTTCTTCATCCAGAATCTGTGCACCAGCCCAGAGGAATGGGGACTACGACGCTCTTGTCTGTGTAGGGACACATCCTAGAGAGGCACCAGCAGCAGCAGTTCTGGGGTCAACACAGACTTCTTGTTGCTTGAAGGCCATGTGGGGGTTGTATGCTGAAGCAGAGGGACTCGGGCACTCTCAGGGGGCAGGAGGGCAACGAGCTCCCTGTGGGGTGTGTGGGGAGCAGGGGGAGCGCCCTGGCAGCTGTCACAGCCCTGCCACACCGGCTCCTCCTACTAATGCCTGTGTCACTGGCACGTTGCAAGGCAATTAGCTCCCGTTTGACAGCCAGGGAGACAGATGATGAGCTGCCCTTGATCAGCCTTAAACAAAGCTTTGCGCCTTGCACAGCCGGAGACTCAAAAGCCCCAGTGGAACCTATTCCTCTAATTGCCAGGCGTGCAGTGACAGCCGCGCCGCTCCCAGCACCACAAAGGGCTCCCCAGCCCCAGCTCCTGCTTATTAGAGGCAGCTCTGGGAATTACTTGTTTAACAGACTGCTTGCAATGCAGAGTAGAGTATTTACTGTCCAGGGGAAACAGGAAAGCAGAGGTGAGCAAGCAAATACAGCAGGGAAAGCTCACACCAAGCCAGTTCTACTTGAGCTCTTCCCATTCCTCCTTGTGCCATTTGGTAACACCACCCTTGCTGAGAGCATCCTGCCCCGGGATTCAGCAGCTGGTTCCCAAAAAGCTCAGGTGTCCAGCTTCTTATCCTGTGTCCAGATCTCTTGCAGGGAGGCCAGGGCTGCACACACCTTGTGCCCTCCATATACCAGAACTTTTCCAAGCCCAGGCTGGGCAGGAGAGCACTACCTGGGAGAGATACTCCCAAAGGTCAGGAGAGAACAACTGTCCTCTGTGTCCCACCTGCTTCCTGTCTCCTTTGTATTGCTTTTGTTTCCCTGTTTATGACTACATTAGAGAGCTGGCTTCTGGGCCCATGGCTGTGCTGGGGGAAGGCACAAAGTCCCCTGCCACTGATGCTCTTGCAGGGACTGCAGGGCTGTGCTTAGGAGGAAGGACAAAGTGCCTGCACCACCAAGGACTGGCTCACTGTGGGATGAGTTTCCACGGCTTCTGGGAAAGTCGTGTATCTTCCTCCTCCTCCTCCTCCCTGTGTGCCGTGATCCGGTCTCTGTGTAGGCAGGCAATTTCTGTTGCACTCCTCTTGGCTGTCATGGCCTTGTCTCCTGTGGGGGGAAACAGCAGCGATGGGAAGGCACAGGGACCTCACACCAGGCCAGAGCCATCGCTCAGCCGGGGGTGAAGCACCACTGCAGCCCCTCGCTAATCCCATCGGCCTGAGCTGACCCCACACGGCCTTTGGGAGGGACTGCTATCATTCCCTTCAGATTTTCTCCTTCTTTTTGACCTAGATTTCACGTTCCAGAAATAGCTTTCTCTGACATACAAGCAGGAAAGGGATTAGAGGGAGAGCGTGTGTGTATGTGTGTGTGTGTGCCAGGGAAAGATTTCTGTTTCATGCTCCATCAGTGTTTGCAGAGGAAAAAAGGGCACGTACACACGTTCCGTGATGTATTCACGTGTCTATGGGACAAAAAAAATTCATGACATCTGTTTCTGTCCATATTTGCCAATTCATTTTTCACCTCTGATCTTTCCTTTGTTATTATGGAAACTCCACCACCGCCCTGTGCCCAGCCAGAGCTCCCTTTTCCCCTGGAAGCCGTGCCATGGCCACAGCCCCGCTCTCTGCTCCACCCCCAAACCCAAACCATCCCTGTCTTTATGTGCCTGGAGCTCTTTGCTGCCAGGTTTCAGCACTCCCATGGGCAGCACCTGGGCTGTGAGCTCGCTGCCTGCTGCAGGCACGTGGCTGGCACACAGAACCAGCTGCAATGGGTTTGAGCCCACAGAAATGCCCAGGTCCCCGGGAAGGGGGGAGCTGCAGCCACACTGTGGACGCTGTGCTGGCACAGACACGGGAGGTGAGCACAGCTCCAAGGTCGGCCCAGCCCGCCTTCTCCCAGCAGGGACCATCTACAAAGAAGTAGAAACAAAGGCAGCTGCCAGCATTTCCCTTTGCTGACATGGTCAGAAAGACAAGTCCTTCTTGTTGCTTGCTTCTATCAGCTTTGATAGCAGGAAAGGGAGTTGGTGCTGTCCTTGTGGGAGAGGAGAAGCCAAAGCACCAAGAGGTGCCTCAGCTCACTCAAAGCCTCTGGGAGGGCGGCACTGGGAGTCCGTGCACAGTGCTGTGCTCTGCCCGTGAAGAGAGCTGGCTGGAGGGCAGTGTGCCAGGTACACAGACTCCTGAGGTGGCAAGGCCTGGTGGCATCCCCACGTGCTGGCCGTCCTTGTGACCCAGGTGAGCACAGAGCTGCCCTGACACCAGACCTCACAGGTGCCCCTTTGTGTCCCCTCTGTTGAGGACACAACAGGGGGCACTGGAGATGCTCAGGGACTGAGCATCACCTCTGTTGGTGATGCTCAGTCCCTCTGCGGCTCCCCATGGCCACAGGGATTGTGCCATCACTGGGAAAGTCCCCGCAGCAAACAAGGACAGCCTTAGCTGAGACAGACACACATGTGCCAGGAGAGCTGGGCTGGGTGGGGTTGAGTGAGACTCTGAAAACAGCCTGGAGCATTTTCAGGATGTCAGACAGTGCAGGCAAATGAGGGTTTCTCTGTATATGTCTTGGTTTGGGTTGCTTTTCTTCTCTTTCGTGCTTTCCCATTATCTTTTCCATCTACTGAGCCCGTAACCTGGGTATTTCTGAGGGTTCAGGAAGAGACTGGCAGTTCAGAGCTACCTGGGAGACCCTGAACTGAAAACAAGTTTCCTTTTTTCCTTGGTAGGCAGCGGAGTGGGGAGGCCCTAGGCTGAGGGTCCCGAGGCTCAGGGCTGACTCTGTGACCAATTTCTCCTTCAGCCCCATTGTGCTGCTGCTTCCAAGAGCGGAAGCAGCAAATCCGCAGCGATTCTTTTGCTGAATGCCGAGGGCGGCGGCGGTCGGTGCTGCCTGCGGAGCCGGCAGCGCTTGAGCTCAGCGCCTTGTTTCCCACGGCGCTTTGATCGCTCCTTGCTGCAGACCAGCCCTTCTCCGAGTGCTGGGAGCCCGGCGAGCCATCAATAAATCCCAGCAGCAAGGAGTGAATCCCAGCACACGTTCTGCTGGCAGGGGCCCCGCGGCAGCACCGGGGCTCGCACGGCCACGGCCCTGCCCAGGGCCCACACCACCAGTGCCCACGCTGGGCTGGGCTGGCGGGCAGTGCCCGTCTCGGTCAGGCGCCGCACAGAGCGACTCCGGCCTCAGCCCCGGTCAGGGGAGCCTTGTGCTCATCAGCTCCGTCTGTCAGTGGAGGATCTGAGGGATAGAGCTGGATGTTCCTGCAGCACCCGGCGTGGCTGTGCCCAGGGCGCAGACCCTGGGGTGGCTCTGCCCAGCAGGTTCTTCCCGCAGCCCGCACGCTGTGCCAGCTCTGCTGCCCTCCACACCTCTATCCTCCATCAGCCCTGCTTTGGCAGCCTAGGGGAGGCACAAAACACAGCCCCAACACACCGCCTGCACCCGCTGAGCGTCCGCTCCCTCTCCCCATGCCCAGCGGCGCAGAACTCCACCAGCAAATCTGGGACCAGGGGGAAACACCCACAAGAGAAACCTCCTCGTCCCACTTGTTCCTTATCCATGTACTTCCCTCTGCACCGGAGGGTTCCTCTCGGCAATGCTGTGGGAGGTTCGGGGAGGCAGCGCTGCGCCCCTGCACCCGCCGCCCACGGGGGGCTGGAGCGGCCGGAGCGAGCGGGGAGAAACGGGAGGGCTCTTTCAGCCAAATTCGCGTTTGCGTGCGGGTGGCACCGCGGCCGCACTGGGGAAGATGTCGCGCTGCCGCGACAAGGAGACAAAGCTCCCGCGTGGGGAGGGAGGGGCGCCCGCTTTGTTCAGCAGCGCTCGGCTCCCCCGCGGCAGCGGCGCTGAGGCAGCGGCCGCCGCCGCCCGTGTCCCCTCTCGGTAGCGCCGGGGGTCCCGAGGGTCCCGCCGCGTGTCCGGCGGGGCGGAGGGACCCGCGCGGCCGTGGGAGCGCGGCGGGGCGGGCTCGGGGCGGTCCCGGGGCGGTCCCGGGGCGGTCCCGGGGCGGGGCGGCTGTTTAATGCGCGGCCCCGCCCGGGCGCGCGGCCGGAGCGGCGGGCGGGCGCGGTGAGTGCGGCGGCGGCTCCGCGCGTCTCCTCCCTTCTCCAGCGGCGGCCGCACGAGCAGCCGGAGCGGCCCCGGACCGCGAGCGGCCTCGCCGGCGGCTCGTTCTCCTCTTCTTCCCCTCCGCGGGACCCAGGCCGGGCCGAGCGCCCTCGCCCCGCGCCCCCCCCCGTCTCTCCGGTCCCCTCCGCCCCTCTTTGTGTCTCCCATGGCTTTGTGTCTGGAGCTCCTCAGGCAATGTGAGTGACCGCGCGAGCGGGGGGCCGAGCCGGGCCCTGCATGGCTGCGAGCGGGGTGCCGCCCCCTCCCTCCTTCCTTCCCTCGCTGCTGCCGCTGCTCGCCGCTTGCCGGGCCCGCCGCCCCTTCCGCTTCCCACGCGCGTCCCGGGCCTCCGTGGGAGCGCCGGGGCCGCCCCTCTCGGCTCCGGGCTGGGCTGGGCTGGGCTGTGGGAGCCGCTCCATCCTCCTCCCCCGCATGCCGCCTCGCCGCGGGGAGCCGGGCCCGGGCGGGGGTGGGCGCTGCCCGGTGCCAGCCCCGCTGTGTCCGGCCTCGGGGACCGCGCGGGGTCAGGCCGGTGCCCGGCCCGGTGCTTCGGGCCCTTACGGAGTCTCCGGGTGCCGCAGGGGGGGAAGCGGCGCTTCACGAAATGCGTGCCCCGCCGGAGGACACGGCCCCTTTCTTTGGAGAGGCGTTCGGATTCTTCCTCCCCTGGAGAAGAAAAGGGAATTGTCTGGGCGAGGCACGGAGCTGAAGGCTGACATTTCGCAGCGCAGCGAACTGGCACCTCCCGGCCAGAGCTGGCTCTGAAAAGTCTCTTTTTTTAGCCTGGGAGAACAGGTCCTGGCTGAAGGTGCCTGCACCAGCCTCAAGCCGCCTGCTGTGTGCAGCAGTTGAGGCTGAACCCCTCGAGATTTAACCGCAGGTGCACCCCGGCTTTAGTGTGCCTTGCAGGATGGTGAGGATGTAACCCGGTTGGTTGTGAGCAGTCAGTAGATATAGCTCTTAATTTCTACTCCAGTCTTGATTGAGAGGCTCAAAAAGGAGGATTGTTTGCAGGATGCTGTTGGTAGGACTAATATTACTTATTCTTCAAAGACCTTGAACTCAGGGTGTGCAGGAAATGTCTTTGAGATGAGAATGGAATTAGGACCTCTGAATCCTAGGCTGTAGCTTGTCACTTGGGGGAGGAAAAGAAGAAAAGGGAGAAAGAAAAAAAACCCACAGCATGTGGCATTGAATCCTAAAATAAATTCCAATCATGTGGGATGATAACAAGCCAGGTTGCCAAGTCGTGTAAGTTGGCAGACTTGATTCCAGAGGGTCCAAATTACTTTGCTGGTAATTGCTCTTCCAACAGGCATTTGGTGCTATGAAGTTACATGTTATTGAAGGCGTGGAAAAAATTGTAACTATTGATCAAATTCAGTCTGTTTGCCTTTCAGATAAGTATTGCTGTGTGTCTGCGCCCAGATACTTGGAGAAAGGTTATCTGCAGAATTTGTCTGTTGTTGGCAGGCGTGGAAAACCTAAAAACTCATCTTTAAGGTGCAAACGCCAAACTGCCACATGCTAATTTTGCATCTAGCTTGCTGCTTCGACCCACTTCTGTCGTGACAGTGTAACTTTGGGGTGCAGCTGAGGGCCCCAGGATCTGTAGTGTGGCCCTGGAAGTGCTGGAGTGTAACTGCTGTGCACTGTGCCAGCCTGGAAAGGAAAGGAGACCCTGGGCTGCAAAGGTGATAAGGGAAGAACTTTGTGTCTGTCAAGTGTGGGTTGTCTGTACAATCCAGTGGGGTCTGGCAAAGCACAGTGTGCTGGGAGCCCCACAGGTGTGGAGATGTAGCCGGTGTCCCAGCACACACTGTCAGCTTGTTTTGCTCCCAGCTCTGTGTGTCAGTGGTTGGGTGCTCGATCTGTGTGTGCAAGTTTGGATTTGTGGACACTTCTGACTACTGAGCTCAAGGTTATTCTGCTGCTCCAGCCTGATGCATGGGAGACCTGCTGCTCTGTGAGCGTGTTCCTGGCTGCACATGCTGCCAGAGCAAGAGAACTTTGAAAGCTTTTAATGGGGAACTAATGATGGTCTGGCATTTACAAACAGCTGTCTGTCAGTTCTTGTCTCCTGTATGGATTTTCGTGTTTGAGCCCAGACTGGGATGGTCTGGAATGAGCCAGTCACTGGACTGCGTGAAAGACAGTGTGGGTTGTGAGAAAAACCCACTTTACCCACACCTGCAGAGGGGAGCCTGCAGAGCCACAATACAGCAGGGCCTGGTTGTGCCTCTTCAGCTGATGCTCTTGCTCTGTGCAACCTGCACAACAGCCTCAAATATTTTTTAATGGATTGAGGAGGCATAATTGGATTCAGAGCAGTGCAAGTTACAGGGACATATGTGATTTGGAAGGATTAAGGCTGTGCAGGCGGGTGGCCTTGTTCAAGAAAAATCCCCTGTAATTTCTGCAGTGAAAAGTTGTCAGTGTGTTTTCTATCAGAGCAGATTTAAAAGGGAGGGGAGCAGTGCTAAATATGATTGCTCTTTGCTGTGAAAGGCGATTAGAGTTCAGGCATTGGATAAAGTTCTGTGAGGGCTGGAGTTGGGAATGGTGAATTCGGGCCCCTCCAGAAGAGCTCATGGAAAAATGAATTTATTTTCCTTCTCTCCTGGTCTCCCACCTGGTGAGAAGAAGTGGGGTGCAGCATGACACCAGGGTTTAGCATAAGCTGCCTTTTAATGGGTGAAAGTTAAAATATTTGTAGATGGGCCAGTTTAGGAGAGGAGAAAATATTTAGGAATTCTGTCCACTTCAATTTGTCTTGCAGCATTAATTAATTGCTGGCCCTTTGGTGCAGATCGGTGCATTAAGTAACAGCCTTCTGTCCCCTGGAGAAGCAAGAGGAAACAACTTCTGCTCTGCCAGGGTCTAGCTGGTGAATGCAAAAGGCACCATTGCAAAAGTATTTGTGATTTTCACTGAAAACAGCGAGGTAAGTGCTCAGATCCATCTGCCCACATGAGTCTAGTCTCTAATTAAATGGGCAGCATTAGGTAGGGCAGCCCCAGTGTTTACATAGCTCAGTGTGGCTGGTAGTCTCCTGTCACAGAAGGTGACAAGCATTGCTGGGGGAGTTAATGGTCCCTCAGGACTGGAGACTGCTCCATTTCTTTAGAGGACAGGACTGTGGGTTATGCACTGCCAGGCCTCTCCCCAAATTTCTGTAAATCTAGGAAGACAGCCAAGTTCTGATCTCTCCTCCTCCCTTCTTGGTGCTGAGCTTAGTCTTGCAGTGTGAATTGCCAGTAAAGGCAGAGGGGTACATGCACCTGCTGGGACACATGCAGGGTGCTTGATGCCCATGTAGGTGCTGCAGCATCACCTGAGCAGACAGTGCTTGTGGAACTGGGTTATCTTTGTTAAGACATCCAGGTTTCACTGCAGTGAAAATCTTTTCACTGTGGTGGAATCTTTTCTGAACCTAGCTCCAAGAGATCAAAGCTTAAGTTTTGAAGTTTGACCAAGAAACTTGAGTGGTGAATGTTTCAAAGGTAAATTCTTACCTGTGTTGCTGGTCTGTCAGAGCTGGAATTAAAGTGGAGATCAGAAGTTGCTTATGCCTTTCTGCTGATGCGCTGTCATAGTGCAAGTTGACATTTGATGACAGCTGTAAGCTATTTAAGAGTTCATAAAAGGGAATTTTTATTACAAGTTGTTTTCATAAGATTAGTCAAACTTCTAAGTATTATTTGTCTTGTTTTGTTTCTATTGTGGGAGTGGTTGAGATCTACCTGCCCCACCAGGCATCTGCTGTGTGCAGGAGGGATCTCCAAACCTAAACTTCTTACCCAGAGTGGGCATATCTAAAGCTGCACTGAAATAGAAGTTAAAATTGGGAAGTTAAAGCATGGATGCTGCATCCCTCTTAGGCTTTACACATAAGCCAGCTACCTGCATCTGAAGCCAGACAAGGTGTCTCAAAAGCTGCTGTGGGGCTGTCCCTGAGGGAGTGCCTGGACCCTCCTGAAGGCCCTCATTAGGAGCTGTGTCCGTGCTTGGCTGCCAGCCTGGGCAGTGCTGCTCTGTGAGAAAAGCGTGTGCAGGACAGGTCATGGGCCATGGCAGGGCTCTCAAGTCACTGGAGTGGCTACTTTGTTGGGAGCCCTCCTTTCCCTTGTTTGAACCCTGAGGCTTTTCAATCCCTTAGCATGCCCCAAATATGGGGTCCTGAGTTACATTTCTGTGCAGGAACACTTCCAGGCTTTGGTGTGCTCTGTTGAGCAGCTTCCCGAGCTGCCACTCCAGCAGCAGGCCTAGATTGGGAATTCTGGTCTCTCAGCAACTCTGCAAGCTCCCTGGCAGTGCAGAACTACTGTAATGCCTGGGCTGGAACTTTCCTGGGGAAGAGGTGGCTTTGGGGAGATGGATACGGGTGGAATGGAGCTGGAAAACTTCTCTCAGTGCCTGAAACAGTGTTTAGTCTGATCTCTTGGAAGTACAAGGGTGTTGGGCAGTGCTTGCACCTCCTGAGCTGCTGGTTCTGGACAAAGCAGCTACTTTATTTCCAAAGTATTGGGTTTCAGTGAT